TATGGTCATTGAATGATAGAGTGTAGTATTAAAGATATTTACTTTTTCCTTTATTACAAAGATATGAGTACAAGTATGTAGCGTATAATGTAGTCTTACAAGTATGCATCATAATACTTGTTAGTTCCATGATTCTATGATATAGAATTGTCCATGGTTCTATGATTGGCTAAATTTTGGTAAAACATGATCCTGCACTGATGTTAAGCAGGATGTTATAACATCTCCATCTGCTGTGGTGACAGAACTGCTGTGTAGTGTTTTAATGTGAATGTCATGCTGAATGTCGTGACATCCATCTGTTGTGGTAACATAACTGCTGTCATGTGTTTTAATCAGGATGTCATTACCAATGTCATGACATTACTGTCTGGTACAGTAGAAGCTGATGATAGAACTGCTATCATGTGGTTTAATCAGGATGTCATTACCAATGTCATGACATTACTGTCTGGTACAGCAGGAGCTGATGACAGAACTGTTGTCATGTGGTTTAATCAGGATGTCATTACCAATGTCATGACATCACTGTCTGGTACAGCAAGAGCTGCTGTTTTATATCACTTGACAGAAGTGCTTTGGATATACCTCATCAATATGTGCAGGCCAAAGAGACTTAGTAAGAACAAAGTGCAGATTTAATTGGTGTTCATAAAATGGATCTTTGAGACTTTTTAGGAAACTATAATATGCTTGTTTCTAATGTTGTGAAGAAGATTCTGCAGGAGTGTTCAGTACAGGGAGTTTGGTCAGCTAAGAACAAAGTGTTTTGGATGTCATACTGGATGTTATATGACATCAAGCGTATGACATCAGGGGCGCGTGTTTAGGTTTACTGTTATATTGCAAGAGGAAACTCAGGCTATACTTCAGGAAACCTGTTATGACTCCTTAGTTATCTCAGGCGAGATTCTAGTCAGGGCTAGGCATAACATGAAGCAACTGTGACCTAATTTGGCAGCACCTTGAATTGTCGAAATTAGTTTCACTTTGTTAAACCTAATATTTGTTACTTGTGACCAGCCCAAGCCCAGTCTGCACTACTATTTAAGGAGGAGCAGAAGCAAAGGAAATCAAGCACTCACAACAAGAAAAACTTGAGTGTAAAATTAAGGTGTAGGATTTTGAGAGTCCATTGTGTGTGTCTTTGTAAGTCATCCTTTGTATCTTTATATACATTGTGGTAGACATATTTGTGAGTGAAGAACTTTGTTCTTCACGTGTGTTTAGGAGTCTTAGGATTCCTTGTGTGCCAAGCAATTGTCTGTTGTATAATTGCATTGGTTTAGCGTGTATGAACTGTTGTGTTTATTGTTCACTCAAAGCTTTTAAGCAAGAGTGTATTGTCCTTGATTAAAGCTGTTAAGCAAGATCAAGTGGTGTCACTTTGAAGAGTGTCTTCTAAAGTCTGTCTTTTGTAATGAATTGATTATCACTGCGGTGATTAAGGGGGAGTGAGCGGGGCCTCTTGTCTAGTGGGTTCTAGGCAGAAATGTCATTGGGTAGAGATTAAGTGAGGAGTTGTAAACGGGGGAGTTTAGCTCTGAATTGATTCTGCTAATAGTGGATTTCCTTCCTGACTTGGTAGCCCCCAGATGTAGGTGAGGTTGCACTGAACTGGGTAAACAATTCATTATGTTATTTATCTTTCTGCATTTACAATTCTGCATAATTTAAATGGTTAGATAAATAGTCTGTCTGTTGATGTTACAACAGACGCCATGACATTAGTACAATTTAAAGTAATTTAAATTGGTTATGGTTTGTCCTCGTCCTTGTTGAGCAGAGATCAATGTTCTTGGGACATATGAGATCTGCATACCAGAATTTCAATACTGTAGCCATGTGTAGACATTTATTAGTAAGAGTCTTGTAGGCATGCAGAGTGCAGAGTGTAGCCATGCAGAGAATCGTGTAGGCATGCAGAGTGTAGAGTGTAGCCATGCAGAGAATCTTGTAGGCACGCAGAGTGTAGCCATGCAGAGTTCAATCTTATCTTGCAGAGAACCTTGTAGGCACGCAAAGTGTAGCCATGCAAATTTTAGTCTTGTCTTGTAGAGAACCTTGTAGGCACACAAAGACATGTGATGAGTGCAATTTTAATAATAATAAACAACACATTATTGTTATTAATACAATAGAGATAGTTGATTTATTGTCATATCAATTAGTAAAACCTACCTTTCAAACACGAGTTTACTAACATTTTAGTTATGGTCCAAACACCACAATACATGACAAGTGCACATTTAAACAGTGAGGTTTTTGAATATAACTCAGCCAATTCCAATTTTTGAAATACTCATGTTACTAGATTTTTGATTGACAAAAGATCGAATTTTTTACACTTGAAATCGAGATTATAAAAGAAATTACAGTGTGGTCCAGTTGGCCAAATAATCTACAAGAATCCTGTATTTTTTGGCGGGTACGAGCAATTCAAAATTTTCCAATTAAAGATTTGAGACGATGAAGATGTGTGTAACATGTTCCGCAATCATGAGTATTCCAGTTTCTCAGATATTATGTTACGTTACAATAACAACAACTGTCTCAGCAACTTGATTCTTCTCAAGTTTTCTTACAAATCTGATGAGGAACACACTGAAGTCGATGCTTGATGAAGAAGAAGAAGTAGCTGAAGTCATTGTTGACGACATGGTAAACGACGAGGAAGAGGGAGTTCCACCCAGTCATGTTTATTGCCTACCTCAACACATGACAAGTCTCGACTTAGGTGACGACGAACCCTCAACAAACATTTTTTACAACCCAAACTACCAAATAGAAGAACTATTAAAAGAGGGCGACAACTCTTGTACAAAAGAAGATTGTGCCAGAGCAATTAAACAATACCACATGGACTTATCAGCAGATTATAGAGTCGATCGAACAAACCCGACTCTATATAAGATCTATTACCGTAACGAGGTGTGTCCATTTCGATTAATAACGTCTTTCCGGAAGAGAAGTGATTCATGGAAGATAGGGTCAATGGGTCCAACCCGCACTTGTATAATCACAAATCTGATGTAGGACCATCGCAAGCTCAACTCTCAATTGATTTGCGATGAGATTCTATCGGTCATTAGCGACAACCCTTCTTTGAAGGTGAGTACCATAATTTCACATATGGTTCAAAGGTACAATTACACTTCTTCCTACAGGAAAGCATGGATAGATAGGACTAAAGCGGTCGAAATTGTCTGGCATAATGATTTGATGCGAAGAAAGAAAAAGGGTCGCCCTAATATAACGCACATTCGAACGAAGATGGATGCAGCAAACAAAATGGTCAGATTATGTAGTTCGTGTCAGCAACCAGGACACGTTCGTGTCGGCAACCAGAACGGTTTCTCCGATGATGATGACGACGACAATGAACGTTGATTTAGAAATGCAGACATTCTAGACTGATTTCAAAATTATGAAGACTTGAGTCAATTGGTGAAAATTGTTGTGAAAAATATGAGTGTGCCGTCTTATTTATAAAAAAATAAAATAGTACGGATCACATATAATATGCCGTAAATACCCTTACAAAATTTATTATTTTTTAAAATTATATATTTTTTTACAAAATATTAAAAAATAACTTTTATATGTTTTTTTTTAAACAAAAATTAAATATTAAAAAAAATACCCTACAACTGATGCGCTATCCCATATGACGACTCACTGTAGGGTAGGGCATGGAATTTAAAGCCATGCGCCATATAAAATGGCAAATCAGGTCAGGGAGACCTTGATCAGTCATTTCATATGGCAACTCCTCTTTAAAACATGGTCATTTTAGTTTTTTTTTGAAATATTATTTTATTTGGTTATTTATTTGAAAAAAACATGTTATTTTTAAAAAAAATTCAAACTTAAAAGTAATATATAAAATAATAATTAAATAACACAATTGGAAAAATAACAATTATTTTTATTTTAGGAACAATTACATTCTTTTAAAACAAATATATATATATATATATATATATATATATATATATATATATATATATATATATATATATATATATATATATATATATATATATATATATATATATATATATATATATATATATATATATATATATATATATATATATATATATATATATATATATATATATATATATATATATATTTGTTTTAAAAGAGTTTTTCTTTCAAAGAAGCTCAAAAGATTGAAAAATAAATTATCTTGTTTTTTTCTTTTTTATACTATCTTGTTACTTTTCTTTAGTAGGTAGAAAGTGCAATAGAGTTGCTCGTGTTTTAGCTTAACAAACTCATTTAATCCCTAATTATATTTGGTTAAAGAATAACCCAGGAACTAATACCCTTACCATAAATGTATTCTATCAAACATAAACATTAACCTATCAACTTCACTGTAGGTGAGTAACTTCTCTCACTCTAAACCTAATTTAAACATAATAAACCATGTATAAAAAAATGTCCCTTTTTTGATGCTATTGCTTGCCTGTCTACAGTTTGATAATTGTATCAGTTGTCTACCAACTGTTTGATGAATGGCCTAGTGTTCTTTTATTGATGATTCAGTTTCATTAGTTTGCTTAAACGGTAAATCGATAATAAAAATTGTAAGTTTATAGGGGATACTTAGGTTTTTAAAACAAAAAATTGATATCTTATGAATTTGCATGCATATCACACCAGAAACGCCCAAATGCACATAATATGAAGTTTACCTAAGCTGGGATTTAAGTGATTGTCATACTTGGACATGAGTTTATAAAATTGCAAGAAAAAAGTATATGAGAAAATGAATTTTCTTATGTAATGTATAGAATGTAAGTATATAAAATAAGAATCAAATAAGATTCATTGAAGCAAGTGTATATGTACTTCTGGGGACAGCTTATGAAATCATGAATCCATCTAAGGTACCACAAGGCCAAAAGAAACTTTGTTTTTATTGATCACCAATTAGGATGTGTATTCTTCTGTTGTCATGCCAAAACCAATAGGAGGAACTTCCATCTCTAAGATTTTGAATGCTGAGACTTATATATGGTTAGTTCCTGTGAAGAAAATTATTTGTGAGTGATCTTTTTATATTTTTGAGACGTGAGAATTTTTTTAAACTCAAAGGATAAATGAGGTTACCTGAGAACAGCATTCATGATCATGATGCAAATTTGATGTTTTCACTATTGTTTCCCACTTGCTATAGCTGGACGCTCTACTGTAACCTATCATTTTAGCAGCGTGTGATTGTTGTGTTCCGCGGCTCCGATACGCGAGGGAGTTTTTGAAAGAAACTAAGGGCAAGGCGCGACAAAGCCACGACTCAGTAGGTGACTTTGGCAATGGTGGAGAGAGAAGGTGCATAACACATTTAGCATCAGTTTTTTCTGAACCATCAACTACAACAATTTGCTTGTTGTTGATCTCTGTATCTGTGTCAAACGAACTTTGCGCAAGTTGCAAGGACATGGATTCTTGGTTATTTTCTTGATTGGCTACTAATCTTTCAGCCTTAATAAATGAATTTGAGCGTGGTGTTTTTACTTTACTGATAGAAGTATCTATGTACAATGATTTTTCCATTGAAAGGTTCCTTGAATTTGAACTTGTTTTGGATCCTTGTGATTGCACTTCTAGAAAATTTTTATGTCCTTGGCTTGAGAATTTCCACTTTTTAGATTGATTAGTATCAGCCAGAGATTGCGAATTACTTTGAGAAGAAGATATACCAGTAGTGACAGCAGCTCCTGATCGACGAAATGAAGCGAGCCTACTTATCTGATTCGGTTCACCTGAGTAAGTATTATACCTCTTTGATTCACTAGCTCCAGAGCTTGATTTGCTTTTATGAATAGCATCCCAAGCCTGCAGGAAACATTCATTATTTGAAGTCATGTAATTAAAAATGCTGATTTATAAAATGAGAATAAGGTAAGGTACTATTGACTATTGAAAGGTGCAGTGCATCATGATTGTCAATCGCAGATCACAAGAAATAACAATTTATTTGAATTCCGCTACACGACAGAGCTATAGTGTCGCTATAGCTGGTATTAAACAACACTTGGTACTAATTAGTGCATTACAGAACAATGATGATTTGTTTAAACTCTGCTAAACAATCGCTATAGCGTGGCTATTCGGCAACATTGAGTGGAATGCAAGAAATTGTACAGAAAAGTAGCACAGATTTAGTTTTTACCTTCTTTATGGTTGGACCTGATCTGTAAGAGCTAAAATGAGAACTTTTGTTAGGATTTTCAACCTCATAGGAAGACCACATGGGAATCTCGCTAACCGGTTTTGTATCAGTTATTGGATTTAATAAGCACAATGAATTCTTAATGCATGAACTAGGAAATAATCCACAACCCTTAGCTGATATATTTGCATAATCATCAGTTTCATGGTCACTTTCTTCTTCTGATTCTGATTCCTCCTCCTCATATTGACCAGTGTAAGGTACAATGTCAGTGATTGATATGTTATTCACAAAGAATTTCTTTTCTTCACAAACCAATTTGGTGCTAGGTTGTTCTAACAGAACAGATTGTTTTCTTGGAGCATGTTGATGTGGTTGTAAAGTCATAGCCTTTGCTGCCGGTAAAAAACGGTTCATCATGAAGTCTTGAGCTTGTTTATCATCACTAGAAAATGTTCTACACTTGTTTGCATCCAAATTATCCAAACCACTTACACATATTGATTCTGTTGAAGAGAGTGTTTCTAAAGCATCCGAAAAAGCATCAACATCATCATCATCATCATCATCCTCTTCCAAAGTTTTTACCATCTCATCTTTTATTCCTTTGTCAGGATCTACTTTATCCAAAATGTCCCTCAAAGATGTTGTTTTAGGCACAGCAACAGGTTTCGTTACCAGATTTTGAATTATTTCAGACTTGTTGCATGGAAGGACTTGTGCTGAATTTTCTAGTATCTTTGTCTTCACTTCAGTTGAGGATGTTGGTGTACATATAAAACGCCTCACCGACATGAGAGGACCATTGATACTCAATTTCCCTTCATTCACCATCATGTTCCACAACTGAGTTTCTAGATGCAGCCCCTTATGAGAAGTTCAAGGTTCAAGCTAGTACTGAGGCCAAAATAGATGAGGTAAGAATCCTTCTAATGTTTCAAACAAATTTAAAAATTAACATGGAAGTATGTGAGTATTAAAATTTTGAGCTACAAACTTTACAATATAAACAACATATTCTCTTTTTTGAATTCAAACCGACACATGAAAAATATTTAGGAGTATATATGCATTTTTCCAGTATTCAGGACTCGTGACACATGTGATTTCATTCAACTATTTTTAGTTTTCAAACTACAATGTTCCGTTACAAACTTATTTTCCTCTTTTAAATTAGTTGACAAATACAAAGCAAGCTAGTAACCAAAAGAAGAAAAAAAGTGACATTTGCCATTAATTTTTATTAATGAAAACAGTTAGAACAGGAGCAGGTTCATGAATGATCTTCACAAGGTAAAGTTATTCACCCACCAGATAATAATAATAATGATGTAAGAAAAGAGCATACCAATTTAGTGACAGCATGAAACATGGGACATTGCTTCAGAAGCAGAATGTGATCCTAGTAAAACAGTTCATCTGAAGTGCAGACAAAAAGATAGAAAACCACAGTATCTAGCTTGTGTGTCTTTGTTTTGTTGGCTATGTAAAGTAATAAGTTGGAGATTATAGAGTCATCATATGAGTAGTAAGTGCACATCACATGGTGAGAGAGTTCAGTCAAAAGGAAATGATTGGTTGCTAAATGATAGAGTGTAAGGGGGGAATGAGTAAGAGTGAAGAAAAGCAGAAAAGTGAGAAAGAGACTTGAAAGCTTTAGAATATCTGCTTTTGCTTTGTGTCTGTTTTCAAATTTACTAGTATGTGTCTGTTGAATATTTTGAAAGATAACAGAATGGACTAATATTCAACTCCAAAATGTCTTCCTATATTCAATAAGCTTATTTATTAGTTGGTGCACTTTTTTCCCTCTGAAGTAGTTTTTCTTCAACTTCAATGTGATTAAACTGGAAAAAGATTGATATAACACTTCACCAAATAATTAAAACCAGACTGAACATTAATTAAATCGGTGTATCTATGAATTTAAGATTTTAAGATTAGATCGTGATCTGATTAAATCGGTTATAAATAAACTAATAATTTTTATTTATATAAGAATGATAATGCACAAGAAAAACTATATTTTTAAAATGGTATAAAAAATGTATTAGTAATTTCATAATAATTATTTGAACATGTTTAAAAATTATCATTTAAAAATTATAATTATTTTTTAACATTTTAAAAGAATTAAATACAAAAGATTATAAAAATCATAGTTTTAAAAATTGGATTGGACCGGTCGGTCAAATCGGTTGAACCAGAAACCGGAGTGGACCGGAGTGGTAAACGGTCCGATTCAATTGTTGGATCGGTCATGTAATTGAACCGATGAGAACTGGTAAAAATCGGTGTAAACCGATACAAATCAGAAAATCGGCGGTTTTGAAAAACTGACGATTTAAGTGTTTTTTTTTAATTAAAACGATGTCGTTTTTCATTTTAAAAAAATAAAAATAAAAATATAAGAGAAAGTTGATATTTTTTCCTTTAAAAATTGGTGATAGCTGTTGGAATTCAACCACGGTCTATGGTGAATTCTTCTCAATCTTGATCTCAAGATTTTTATGTAATGAGAATGAACAAAAAAAACAAGAATACGTTTAAAGAAGATGAGTATGAACTGCAGAGTAACTCTCTGCCCACAACTGTGAAATTTTATTCTCACTTTGCAACCGTAAAACCATGATTATCAAACTTGATTATTTCAATGATAAGGGTTCCTCCTTATTTATAGATTTAGGTTAACTTGCATCTCATGTTAAACACCAAACTATAAAAGCCCAAAAATATCTAATCTAATCTTTCTAAATCAAATATGATCTTTCTAAATCAAATCTAATCTTTCTTAACAATGAATTACATATTTAACATACCACCTAATTCATTGGGTCTAAACTATCTACATTCATCATAGACCTTAACTTCTTGAACACTTTGACTAACACTCCCTTTGTCATGATGTCTACAATCTGATTCTCAATTCCGCAGTGTTCCAAGTTCATCTTCCCTTCTGTTACCTACTCTCAAAGATAATGGAACCTCATTTCGATGTGCTTGCTTCGACCGTGTGCTATTGGACTCTTCGCCAAGTTGATAGCTGATATGTTGTTGATATTCATAGTAATTGCTCCATGACTTTTCGCTGCGATCTCTTCGACCAGGTTTACCATCCAGGTTGCTTGACATGCACAAAGAGAAGCAGCTATATATTTTTCTTCACATGATGACAATGCCACTACTGAATCCTTTCTTGAACTCCAAGCAACTAGTGCACCACCTAACATAAACACATAGCCAGTTGTGGATTTTCTATCCTTAGAATCACTACACCAACTAGAGTCAGTGTATCCCATTAACTTGTATTTTTTCCTTCATCAGCGGCAGGAAACAAAATGTCGTAGTCAAGAGTCCCTTTTAGATACCTCAGTATCTTCTTCGTTGCTGCTAGGTGTGATACCTTTGACTTCTATATGAATCTACTTACCATACCCACATTGTATATTAAGTTAGATCTTGTGTGACAAAGGTATCGAAGTGACCCAATAAGTCTTCTTTATTGGGTTGGATCCACATCATCTTCATCTGACTGCTTCGAAAATTGCAATCTGGTCTCAGCTGGAGTCGAAGTTGGGTTGCAATCTTGCATCTCAAATATCTTGAGTATTTTTCCTGCATATCTTCTTTGGTGCATCATCAAACCTCTACTAGTCTTTTAGAATTCGATGCCAAAGAAATATGAGATATTTCCCAAGTCTGACATTTCAAACTTCTCACTTAGGTCATGTTTGAAATCTTCTATCTCCTTCTTGCAACTTCCTGTTATCAACAGGTCATCGACATAGAGACATAGTATAAACGATTCAATATTGTTTCTCCTGACATATACTCCATGCTCAGTTGTGCACTTCACAAATTTCTTCTCCCTTAGAAAGTTGTCGATCTTTTATTCCAAGCTCTTGGAGCTTGCATAAGTCCATACAAGGCTTTATGCAGCCTGTACACCTTTCTTTCTTCACCTTGTTTCACAAACCAGCTGGTTGTGCAACATAAACTTCTTCGTCTAAGGGGCCACTCAGGAATGCACATTTCACATCCATCTGACATGTGTGCCAATTGTTCATATTTGCTAGACCAACAACCAACCTGATTGTTTCGATCCTAGCAACAGGTGCAAAAACTTCGTCGAAGTCGATTCCCTCTTTCGGTACAAATCCTTTCGCCACAAGTCTCGCCTTATGTCAAGTTACCTCTCCTTTAGGGTTCACCTTCACCTTGTAAACCCACTTCACATCAATTTCCTTCCTTCCTGGAGGAAATTCGACAAGCGACCATGTGTTGTTGACTTCGATGGAGTCTAACTCCTCATTCATTACTTTCACCCACATCGAATCTTTCAATTCCCTAACTGCATTGACTGGTTTGACATACGCGTATAAAACATAATATACTAGCTCACCCTCTTCATCAACCACATCATCTGATGTAATCACACATTCTTGCAATCTTGTAGGAATGTGTCTTGTTTGTCAAGGTCTGCTTGGGCCTGCTTCATATCTGACTTGTTCCTGTCGAACTTCTCTTTTGACTTTAGTGGATGGTTCTTCACAAGAGATTCTCATTGAATCCTTCTTGACATTCTCATTCCAATCCCATTCTTTAAGCTTATCTATGGTCACTTCTCTGCTAATCATTACCTGCTTATTCCCTGGGTCAAACATCTTATAACCTCCATTTGAATGATATCATATCAAGATCATCTAATTCGACTTGTCATCAAGCTTCATTTTCAACTAATCTGGTACGTGTTTATATGCTATAGATCTAAACACCTTCAAGTGATTGCGGCTAGAATTGACATCAGACCAACATTCTTCTGGTGTGATTCCTTCAAGCTTCTTCGTCAGACATATGTTTAATATGCATGTTACTGTCGAAACCGCTTCTCCCCATAATTCTTTGGGTAGATGCTTTCCATTCAACATACTTATCACCATGTTCATGATGGTTTTGTTCTTTCTTTCTACAATTTCATTTTGTTATGGAGTGTAGGGCGACACCACCTCATGCATAATCCATTCTTTTTCACATGATGCATCGAACTCTTTCGACACACACTCTCCACCACCATCAGTCCTCAGAATTTTCAACTTTCGACCACTCTGTCTTTCGACCATAGATTTGAATCTAGAAAATACCTCGATCACATCACTTTTCTTCTTGATGAGGTAAGTCCACAACTTTCTACTGTAATCATCTATGAACGTGACAAAGTATTTGTTGTACCCAATCTAATCCACATGGATAGGACCACATACATCAGAGTATATGACTTCAAGAATTGCTTTCGACTTGCTTCTTGCATCCTTGCTGAAGTTATTCTTGTGTTGTTTCGCTTGAACACATTCTTCACACACTTCGCTTGGAATGTCGATTTCTGGTAATCCTGAATCCATTTTTGTTCTCTTCAAATCTATGATGTCTTTGAAGTTGAGATAGCTAAGTCGATAGTGCCATATCCATTCATCTCTGTTGGATGCAGTTGCAAGACACTTATGCTCCATCATATTAAGTTCAATCTTGAAGGTTTTTTTCTTAGACATTGGAGCCTTCAAGATCAACCTACTACTTACTCTAAGAACTCTCATCATCTTGTCTTCGATCGACACCTTGTATTTTTTTTTCCGAATAACTTCCCTATACTAAGAAAATTACTCTTCATGCTTGGTATGTACAACACATTGGAAATTGTTGACTTCTTTCCATCTTTCCTCATAATTAGAACATCACCAATACCTTCAGCTGCTAGAGTATTGTCATTTGCAAATTTCACCATATTCTTCATTGAGGGCTTCATATTAACAAACCAATCTTTTCTTCCAGTCATATGCGAT